AGAGATCACAAGCAGGCAGAGAGGCAGGCAGAGAGAGAAGGGGAAGCAGGCTCCCTGCTGAGCAGAGAGCCCGATGCGGGGCTAGACCTGAGCCGAAGGCAGAGGCTTAACCCACTGAGCCACCCAGGCGCCCCTCCAGTTTAATTCTAACTAAACAAATATTTCCAAGTCTGGACTCAAAGGAAACAGCATTTTGCATATTGGCTCAATTCTGCTGTCCCAAACATAATATAGAAAACGCTCTATTATAGTAATGGAACAGCCTTCTAACTTGAAAAACAAAAAAAGAGTAAGAGCTGGTTAACTCTTACCAAGCTATGGAATACTACCTCTGTAGAACATTTTAAACATTTATTTTCTTCCAAAGGCTTGAACAGCTATTCTTAGAATCTCCACATGGAATCTGGAATGCTTTATCACACGGGTCAAACCAAGAAATTCATTATAGAAAAAAATACATTTCTATTTCCATTTTAAAACATGGTAAGGTTATAAAAAGGACTCATGTATCTACTCCACAGAGTCATTTTTCTGTTACCTTTGTGTGACCAGCAAATGTAGTACTGGGAATGCTGAAGGGTAAACAATGAAATGACTTATTTCCTTGTCCGATTTACAAATGATACATCCTCTTCTGTCAAAACTAGAACATAATTTTTGGCGAGAACCTAAGACTTGCTAGTCAAAATTCACTACTGAACGAAACAGGAGTCCCTGCTCAAGGATCCAGGAAGGTAGAGGTGGGGGCCCAAAATATATTTTCAAGGGGCGCCTGGGTAGCTCAGTCAGTTAAGTGTCCAACTCTTGATCTCAGCTCGGGGCTTCATCTTGGGGTCATGAGTTCAAGCCCCACGTTGGGCTCCATGCTGGGTGTGGAGTCTACTCAATAAGAAAAAACAAAACAAAACAAAACAAAACAAAAGACGCTCTCAGAAGAGCTTTAATTAAAGAAACAAAATCTATTTTTAAAATAATTTTTTAATTTTTTAATAAACATAAATATCTTACTAGCCCCAGGGGTACAGGTCTGTGAATTGCCAGGTTTACACACTTCACAGCACTCACCATAGCAGGAAACAAAATCTATTTTCAACATTAAAAAACGACTAAGGGAAATAAAACATTTATATCCCTCAAGCTCTAGTGATGTTCGAGAAGCTCTTAAAAATTAATGTCTAAAAGCAAATAGAGGGGTGCCTGGGTGGCTCAGTGGGTTAAAAGCAAATAGAGATTACTAGCCTTAATAAAAATCTTTACATTTTATAATCTTGGTTTCTCTTGAAGGTTCACCCTAGGCTTATGATTTTCTTCTGTCCCATGTGTTCTCTCTGGATGGTTTTTATAAACAACTATCCTGGTTTTAATGCCCGATCATATGCTGATAATTTCCAAAATTTTGTCTTGAGTTTAAAAGCCTGTCCTGACCTTCAGACCATCTTCCAGGCCCTCATTACTGCGGGTGGTTTGTAGACTGGCAGCCTGGCCACCACGTGGAGGAATGAGAGACATGTGTCCTCTCAGGTCCTAGACCAGACTGAATCAGAATCCACTTTTCGGTGAGATTTCCAGGTGACTCAATGCAATGGAAGGTTAAGAAGCAGTGTACTAGACATCTCTAGACTTCAGGTTTTACGGGCCTGTTAGCTCAAAATGTCCAAAATACGACAGGCTGCATGCTTCTTAAGGCTAGAAAGGTTATCATGATAAAGCCTCTGTTTACCTAACTGGCCTATGTGATGACATTACCTGCTTCATGATTTATGCCCACTCGCTCCTGTGACTGGCATCCTGTTTCCTTAGCAGGGGGCCTTGGCTCCATCGATTATTTACCACCAACGCCAGCCGCTGCCTGACTCCCTTGCATTCGAGTCCCTAAGACTGGAGGAAGTCTTCCTCGAGGATCCCTTTTATGCACACTCATTCCCCAATGAGGCTGGATTCAGGGTCCTCTTCTAGGTTCATATACTGCTCACACCCTGCTATGGATTGAAATTGTTTCTCTCCCACCAGCAAGGAGAGCACCCAGAAGACAGGAATCGTCTCTTATTTAGCCTGAAAACCTTAGTACCCACTACAGGGCTGAGACCATAAAGAGTACTCAGTAACTGCAGAATGGATATTAAGGCAATAACTAAAACACCAAGTTTCTTTATTTGGGATTTCCTGCTGCTTAGAAGCTCTAAGAAACTTGAACTTAATATAGTCAATGTGGTGGATAAAATCTTTCATAAAAAAGACCACAGGGGAGATGATAAAAAGGGTTTTTGTTCTTTCTGGCGAAACTTCTGAGAACTACTGGTCAATGCTATGTTTAACATTAACAAACAAGTTATGGCCCAATCAGTTACCCTTGGAATTTATGAGACTGATTGGCCTTAAGACTAAACATTTCTTAAACCAATGGCACTCTATTTTTAAAATGTTATGTAAATTGATGACTTTGGAGGGCTTCAGTTTTCTACTGTCAATGCTATTTTTTAAAAGACTTATTTTATTTATTTTAGAGAGAGAAAGAGAGAGAGTAGAGGGAGGGACACAGGGAGATGGAGAGAGAGAATCTCAAGCAGACTCCTCGGGGCTCGATCTCATGGCCCTGAGATCATGACCTGAGCTGAAACCAAGAGTCAGATACTCAACTGACTGAACCACTCAGGTGCCCCAAGGCTATTTTAATAACATTTACTATGTGGTGTTCAATATCTTTTTAGTCATGACTGAAAAACTGTCTAATTCAAAGTCTCTTAGAGTATTGGGGGTAAAAAGTATCTTTTTAAGACTAGAGCAAAGACGTCTAGCTTTTAATACAGAATGAATTCCTTCAAATTCAGTAGAAGAAAATGACCTAAATAATGCATTTTTATAAAATCCCAAAGATGTCTCCAAAGAAATGCAAATGCGAGTACAATGTAATTTTAGAACTAATCTGGAAAAGTAGCAGCGCAAGAACAATCCTCCCACATACTCCCCACACGCAAAAAAGGCAGAGATGCATGTGTTGTTTTTTTTTTAATTTTATCTATTGAAAGAGGATTTCACTTATCACTTAAAAACATCAGAAAAGTAGAACAAATTAGGTATCTCTGTCTAGCTTTATAGGCAACTGCTCTGGCTTCAAATCGCGTTTTATCCAGGATGAGTGTGGACTACAAGGTTGGGAGTCCCTCTCAACTGGACCTGGAGTGTATTCAAAGATGCACCAAAAGAAGGGGTGGGGAACAGCATCAGGGGGGCTGTAGGAGGAGGAAGTAAAAGGGACATGGTAGTAGAGGCACTTTTACAGATCCATATGGAAAACATGGAACGTGGTCTGTCAGGGATGCAACAACTCAAAGGCAGACAGTACAGGGCGGGCTGGGGGAGCTCACCTGAATGTGGAAAGGAGTGAAAAGTGTCTCCAGAGACCACAAAAAGACTTTCCTTCTTCTCCTTCTCAAAACGAGTGGTCATTTCTTCCTGAGATGCCTCTTCATCTTCCCTCTCTTCTCGAAGTCTCTTCATTCTGTCCATCAAGGCCTCTAGCTCACTTAGGGAATCGACAATCTGGAGCCAGGTAAGATAGTGTTGGGTGTTAGTAATACCAAGAATTATTCCGGTAAAGGTCCCTGTCTAGTAAATGCCACCTGACTATGTACAGAGGTGTGGACCCTTAAGTTCCTAAGTGGGTTTTCCATTAACACCAAAGAAAATCAAATGACAGATTCAAACATTTTCCAGAGTATGATGTTTTTGCTGCAGTTATAAATCTAGAAAACTTATAAGTATAGATATATTTAATCTAGAATTTGAGCATTTGGTATATATTAAGTTATAGTTTATTTTTAAAAATAAGGTGGCCTTATGATTTGTCATAATATCTACTTACTTTATTATTTTTTCCAAAGATTTTATTTACTTATTTATTTGAAAAAGAGAGAGAGAGTGCATGAGCAGGGGCAGAGGGAGAAGCAGACTCCCTGCTGAGGAGGGAGCTCAGTCTTACGGCCCCAGGATCACGACCTGAGCCAAAGGCAGATGCCTAACTGACTGAGCCACCCAGGCTATCTATTTGCTTTAAAAGCCTTATCTCTAAGACAATTCAGAACTTCATGTACAAGTTAAGTTTTTACAGTAGTAAAAGTTGTGCAGAAATAGTTCTAGTATACAATGTCCTGTTGAGTCAGACAAACTCTTTCTAGGTATTTTTCAGGCAAAATAGTGAAGAAAAACGAAGTTCAGAACACTAACCCCGAAGTTGTTGCCTGTAAGGGATGCATTCTCTATGTTGTTATCGTTGGCGAGATCACAAACACAGAAATTGTTGACTGATATTAGCCTGAATCCATTGGAGATTTCTGGATCTCTCTCCGGATTGATGCCACTACCAAAAACAAAGCTTGCCAAAGCATGATAATGTGCCAGTAGGACTACAGCGTGTACCAGCTCGGGCAGAGACCAGTTATTTTCTCCAGTTTTGACAAGTTTCTGTAATGAGAAAGTGAATCAAAGTAAGAATGAAAACCACAGAATGCTGCAAAGCAATTTTAGAAAGCATGGAAAATCCACCAAATTTTTAGGTCCATTTATAGCAATCAAACTTAAACTTTTAAAACTCCTTTTTAAAACTTCCTTTTAAAAATGTTTCATGTAATAAAGATATGGCTTTGGTCAAACAACATTATATTCAACCGGCAAAACTAACAATATAATTATGTTGTAGATTATTCTGAATTCCTTATAGGTACCATGGATCTTCTGTTTCCAAAGCACGCTTACATACTGTGTTGTTTCAATAAGATAGTTCAGAGAATCAAAGAACACTGAAGCTAGAAGGGCCTTTAAAGATTATCTAGCAAAGCCATCCACTTTAAGGTTTTTAGGTAAAGACTTGACCTTAAAAATCACATAAAAACAAAACAAAACCCTAATTCATTAAGTCAACTTTTAGGTGCCTTTCCTGATGGAGAAAGAGCTGATGGCAGAGGATAGGAGCAGTAGAATTACTACCTCACCTTTGAATAAGAACTTTAAAAGTTTCAAAGCACTTTTTTGTATGCTATTTCACTTGATCCTCCAACTGAAGGATGGAATCACAAGTGAAGGCATTAAAAACAATGATGTCTCCATCCCCACTTTCTCCAAGAGCCAATCCCATCTGTCAGCACATCAGAGAGTCTTTCCCATGGGTGTCCTCTCTGTCTAGCGTGGTACAAATGTGCATGCATGTTCTGCTGCTCCCTACATTTCTACACTTTAAATTCTGCTCACTTCACAGCCAAGCCCCCATCAGAAACCTCTTTGGCTTTACTCTCCATTAACTGCCCTCCCCTCCAACACACAGGAAATTTAATATATTACCAAAAGCTCAATTAAAGGAAAAGGAAAAATTAATCAGATTCTACCACCCTAAGGTAACTTTCCCATATTTTATTTTTATAAGCATAATTATATAATCAGAGTAACACTCCTAATTTTCTCTGCTTTGCAAACCTGACATTTTGACATGTTCTTTTCTCATAAGGCTACAATGTCTTAGACTGAGCATGGCCTTTATACTGCATAGAAATGGATATAGAGAGCTATTTCTCCATTTTTTTACTGTTAGATATTCAAATTGCTTCTAAGTTTTTTTCTGTTTATTTGCTATTATAAATAGCACCTTCATTCCTTGCTATATCTATGCTATAAATAGCATCTTTAATTCCTAATGGGATTTTGAGGGCAATCATATTTTAAGGACTTTTCATAATACTGCCAAAGAGCCTTTTCCAAAAAACAGGTAGAATTTACAATGCCTTTGTCAGTCTTTCGAAGAGTACGAAACCTGAAAGGATAGATAGCCAGCACTCATCACCTCGAATTTCTCATCTCACATTCATTTCTGTTTCTTTAATTCATTATAATTTGTTCTCTTTTTTAAGCAGCCTCCTAAAAACAACTTTTGCGAAGGTCAGGTATGACTCCCAATAGCCAAATCTAAGTATTTCTTTTTTAGTAGTTATCCTATTGGGTCTCTGTAGGATTTATGCTTTCCTTACTTCCTCCTTTCTTGAAATTAATCTCCCTTGACTTCAGCAGTTCCACTAAATTTTTTTTGCACCCTCTCTCCCCTGAGATGCACGTTTCCCTGTCTTCCTCTCAGCCCACTTTTTCTGCTTGTCTCCAAATGTTGGCTGGCTCTATTCGACCCCAGATGGATCATTCATTCCTTCAACTTGACCTTTGCCTACTGCCAATAGCTATCTGATCCGGTTTCTAATCTATCCTTTATCTTGAGTTACAGACCTATATTTCCTTCAGTAACTGGACATCACTATCCAGAGTTAACAATATTCTGCTTTCAGCCCAGAGTGTACTGTCCTGCTCATGCCTTCTCCCAGTCAGGAAGGCAGAAACCTTACTTACTCTCCTGTCCTTCCCCTCTCCTCCATATTCACATTCTGCTAGTTACCACGTCCTGTCTCTTTCCATTTAGAATGCTTACATACAGTCTGATCTCTCCTTTGGCTTTAAAAAAAAAAAAATCATCTCTCACGTGGACTACTGCAATTGCTTTATGATTGACTCCCGTTTCTAGACCGTACCATTTGTGATTTACCTCCTGCATCACCACACACGTTCATATTACAACTCCGCTCAAAAACCTCTGATGACTCCTAATTCTTCATCATACTCATCTCCGAAATCTTTTGACCACATATACTACTACTTTCTTTTTTTAAGATTTTATTTTATTTGAGAGAGAGAGAGAGAGAGAGGGAGAGGGCACGAGCAGGGGGAGGGGCAGAGGGAGAGGGAGAGAGAGAATCCCAAGCAGATTCTGTGTTGAGTGTGGAGCTCTACATGGGGCTCGATCCCAGGACCCTGAGGTCATGACCTGAGACAAAATCGAGAGTTGGACACTTAACTGACTGAGCCACCCACTGCCCCTTGATCAGGTATACTTCTGACAGTAACAGTTGGGGACTCCAACCTCTGATAGTATGTACGTTTATTTATAAATAAACACTTAAAAAATACAACATATTATATAGATGAGTCATACACATGTACTGTAATACTAATATTGTAAAATAAACAGAGAAATTTATTAAGGTAAGAATACACGTGGGTGTACACACACAAATAATTTTCCAACATTTTGAAGGATTGCCTTCTGCGTCCCCTGAAGTAAGGTAATATAACTCTGAAGAACATAGGTTTCTGAGGATAAAACATAAATGCTTTAATACAGTACTCATTGTGTCATAAGGACATGCTCCCCATTCTTCCCATCTCCTACCCCCACACCTCACATAACCTTCCCTACTGTCAGTAACCTGAAGCCGTTAGTTACTTTTCCAACATACAATGTTTCAGAAGTCCCCCCCACCCACCCCCCCCACCCGCCTCTCCTTGAAAATTCCCACTTACTCTTCAAGACCTATCTCAAATGTTACCTCTTTCATGCAACTTCCTGATCCCATTCTTTCTGTTCATACCTTCATATACCACTGTGCTGTGTTTATTGTCATTATCTCTCCCTCTTTCTTCCCCTAGATTCCAAGCATGCTGAAGGGCAGGGTCTACCTTTTTGGACCCACCAAAGTACATGGCACAAAGTAATGAACATAGGACATAAAAATAAGGATCAATTCTTCTATCTAAGTAACATCTTATCAAGTCAGAACATAAAGCTGAGGGAAATGTTATGTTTCATATATTCCCATACAGGTAACTCAATTTCTAAGAGTAGAGAGACTGACAAAAGCTCAGTTTGGTTTAACTGGGCAAATAACTAACAAAAATGTAGTCTAACCGAGAGGATCAACAAAACCGAAGACGTATCTACTCATTAGAAGCAGAGAATTTTAATACCTATGTACTGAATAGTGACCCAGTGCCAAGCACCGTGCCAAGGCCTCACCCTGTGTGCCTTTGATGGAAGCCCCTTTCCATCTGCAAGTATTCTAGTCAATTGCAACTCTGTTTCTCATCTAAGCTCTAGCTTCTAAAGGCATTGAAGTGTTCACACCAGTTGGCACATCGCTTTTTATTTGCAAAACTGTAATTTGCAGATCTTAAAATTATGAAATGTTAGAACTAGAAAAGAGCCTGGAACTCATTTAATCTAGGTCCTTCATGTTATAAAGGGGGGAGCTACTGAGGTCCACAGAAGTTAATTTACTCAAGGTCACGGGTGTGAGAACCCAGGGAGTCCACTGTGCAGTTTATTTTGTCTACCTCCTGCTTGAAAACAGAAATCAACTTTTCTCATGGCCACTCACTAAGGCACCTGGGTAGCTCATTATTGATTACCTTAAGAGGAATATCCATTGGTACTTAAATTTAACCCACAGACTTTCTACATTTATCTTTTCTATATACTGAGAGCCTATGTTGTAAGTTTCTAATATGCAAGTATTTTAAAATTAAGTCTTAACCAAAAAAAAAAAAAAAAAAAAAAAAAAAGGAAAGGAAAAAGGAAAAAAAAAGGAAAAGAAATAAAAGAAAAATGAACTCTCAGCCAGAATCATAAGCAAATCTCTTTTTCATTTCCAAATAGCACTCAGTACCTGAATATGCTCTTTTGTGATCAGCCAGGGTCTGTGTGCGAGCAGCTTGTTAATTTCATTAAGATTTTTCAGTCTTTGCGGCACATATTCCAAACCATTCAACCACTCAGCAATACCTCCTGTCTTTAAAAATTCATCCACGTGCATGTTTATTAGGTAGGAACACTGATGTCTAGCTGCAGCCTAAAACACAAGAAGACTCTGTTGATATAGCAATCGTGGTACATGTCGCATTCTACTGTTCTAAACCAATAATAATAATGATAATTGATTTGGAGTTTAATAATTTTAATAACCAATAATTCTTTTCTTATAGATTCCTCCTCCTCCTCCAACTTCTATCACAATACACCATAGATTCTTGAACCAGTACACGTAGTCGATATTTGTACAAGCGAATAACTGTCCCATGTAGGCAATTACCTCCTCAGCCAGAGGTGGGTGTGGATTATCCTCAAATGCACTTCCTGGTTATATCAAGAACATACACGTCCATTTCATGATGGTAAATGACATAAACTACGTTCTATTTAAAACTCAATAAAATCTCACTAACTTGTATTCTACCCATTCAGAACACAGCTAATTTGGGTGCTCCTCTTACCCCCTTTAAGATAACTGCGATTTCAGTCTTATCTGGGCACTTCACCCACTGAGATAAGACAAGTTCGCTGACACCTTCCTGCCCGTGCAGTCAAACCAGTCTTGACACTGGGAGTTTGGGAAATCCTTGCAATGCAGACTTTCCACTGCTCCTTTCCCTAGGCCTGCTTCTCAGGAAAACAGTATCGTTTCTTCATTCTATTTTCCATATCTTGCTTATCTCTTAGTTTATGATCATTCTAAGGCTGCCTGGGAACTTGCTGTGGTCAAATCTGTAAGCTGGAATTACAGTCTCAGTCGTGTTCGTCTTGTTTAAAACTTTGATGAGAGCATAAACAAGATAATCAAATCAAAGTTGGGAAAAATGAACCTGCTGACTGCCAGCTACCTCTGCCAGCCAGCTGTTCTCCTAAACCACCCCAACACAGGGCACTGGGACCAGGTCCTCTGTCTTTTTCTCCAGGAATAGTCCACCTGTGACACTGTTCCTTTCTACCTTTCTCATCTCGATTTATAATTCTCTCCCCACCCTGACTAAAACATTAACTAGTTCACTAGTTTGTACCAAGTACTATATTTAGTGGGGTTATGACTCATTTAAGAATTTTTCCTCCATTGGTGCTAATGGATACTCTCCTCTCCTCTGGCCAAATCAGTAACATTCTTCAAGTAGAAAATGACTAAATCAGATGTCACAACCAACCTGTTTTATATTAATAATAAAAAACAAGGCATCAAGAGCCAAAACATGACCTGTGGGATCTTAGGGATAGTCCCTTGGACCCTACTAGCGTCATCAACCGTAGGTGAATAAACTGAAAATTCAAGGAGAAACTGAACCTTTAAGGCATGTAAAACATTCCAAATGCATCCCAGACACGTGGTATCCTAAAGACCACAGGCTTCTTCAAGTCTTATTTCTAGAAAAGGGTACTGAGCTCTACACACACAAACACACACACACTAGGAGCGGGGAGAAGGGACGAGCAAGGGCGATGTGGCGGGAGCACAGGCAGCCGGGAAGCGGGCGCACCATTATCGCGATGTAGTGCCTGTGTGGTAGAGGAAGGGGGCCATCCATGCGCAGCATATAGAACTGGCTCCGCAGGAAAGACTCCAGGTACTGAGTGTGCAAACTCATGACCTGCGTGATGTTGTCCAGGCGGCCAGAAGTAGAGTACTCTTCCACAAGAAAGTTCGTACGCTCATCCACTGTGTTCGCTTGGACAACCTGGTGATGGAGAAGCACACAATGAGTACTGAGAAGCAATGGATCTTTTGTTTACACACATGATGCCACTCTGGAAGCAAGCGAATGTTCTCTGGGTAGGAACAGACCCTGAAATTACGCAGTTGCTCATACCAGCGACGGAAATTAAAAAAAAAAAAAGGAATGAAAAAAGCACCGCTCGTTTTTGGCTCTGGGACCGCAATTTATTAAACAACAAATGTCAAATCATCAAACACACAGCTCTGAACTTGGAGAAAAGCAGCTTCCATCTGCTCTGCCAGCCGCGGAAGGCACAATTTCCAGGGCCCACTTGCCTGGCCGTTATCACGCCAACTGGTGGAGCGGGAAGCGGTGGTATTCGATTCCCACAGTTACAATTTTATCCCAACGGCCTACGAAGATATTTAATCACATTGTCTTAAGACAAGAGTTTCAGTCTGATCTTGTGCTTGTTTTTGTTCAACATAAAATAAAAAGCTTTCTGAAATCTTTTTAGGGACAAAGGAAAACATGATAATTTGTAGGAAAGTGTTAATTGAAAAATTAATAAGGACACTAGAATACTGTGATTCCTATTTTCAGCCTATTGTATTAATTGTTAAAAACAAGGTTGGTTATTAAAATGGACATCCTCTATCCCAGGGACTCAAAAGAGCTTTCTCAAAAATAGATTATTATATGTAGCTTTATACACAGTGACAGCTTGGGCATCACACCAAGAATTGAGTCTGAAGGTGTTAAGAGCTTATTAGCACCTTGTAGAAGGACCCGGCTCTGTGGGAATTAATGGACATGAGATGAATATTTCTAGGACTGGTTCATTATTTATTGATATTTTAGAATTAGAATTCTAGACTTAAGAATACATTTCTTATTTCAGATTCAAAATTAAATTCGAGCTCATGCACTTAGTTAACCGCAGAGCCTGGTCTAGAATCCAGATTTTCTAAAGTCCAGACTACTGGTCTTCCCAGAGATCCATACTGTTATTAGAAACTCTGTTTACTCTTTAAGGCTGGCTTCACAGTCTCTTCTGAAAAATAAGTACAAATTATACAAAGGCACTATTGACTGAGGAAGACGTAATCCCAAAGGAAATAGAACGTTTGGAAAGTGTGAACTGTGAGGAAATGTTAATTACAATGGTGTAAAAAAGCAATTTCAGTTCAGCTAGTTATAAAGCCAAGTACACTTTCATTTGCTCATTTTCCCCCATTTTGTCAACTATAGGGACCAAGTGATGTTAAAAACAATAAGCTCCGGATTAACCACATGTAATTAAACAGAATATTTGTTAATTTTGTTTTGTCTTCTCCAGCAGAGTTTCTTTTGTTTAAGCAATGCCAAAGGCGTAAACAAATGCAAGAGGTCCTGAGAACAGCGGTGGCTTCTGCAAACCACCTTACCTTCAATATATAGCGTGAAAAAGACTGTTTCAGGAAGTCTTTATGTAAATGAGGTAATCACTCCACCAAGATCCCTATGCTGTAGGAGAAAACGGGCACAAACACAGTCCTTTCTGTAATGACTGGTCCCATCTAGATCAGCTAGAGATGGAGTTCCCAATGTTAACTTGTTAACATGTTTCCCATGTTAACATGACTGTTAACATTCCTTTAACCTTTCCATTCAGATGGTAAGGTCGCTCAAAAAGCAAAATGAAGATGTAGGACTACTGACTCTGACAAGGACCTGGCATGTATTTTTCGAATTTTATTCATCCCTTCTTTTAAGACAATGCCTGGCACATAACAGGTGCTCTGTGTATCTTTGTTGACTGCTTTCAGAACGATATAGGAATAATGCTGGTGCTTTAAGATAAATGTCTTTGCAGTAGTGAATCAGGATATACAATCGTATTCAATAAGGCAATAACTCCTCCAGCAGAGAAAAACTCCCCAGTTTAGTGGTTCTTAAAGTTTTCTTAGCTCAAGTATCTATCTGAGAGGCATCTAGGAATCTAGGATGTCGGGCACTTTGCTGGGATCTTTCATAAGGATGTATACCCACAAAAAGGCATAAATCTTCTCTTGATTGTCATTTTACGACCTCTCCTTCTTGAAATTACCATCTTGCTTCCCGCCCCCCCAACTAAAGGTACATACTGTACAGACTGAATTGACATTCTCTCCAAGACACTTCTTAGAACCAAAATAAACAAAAGAGTAACGACTAATGATGTAATGTCATTACATTACATACAATGTAACGACTAATGTCGTTAAATTAGTAATGACTAATGTCATTAAATTAGTAACGACTAATGATATTCTGCTTAATAGGTTTAGTTGGGAAACTCATTTTTTCAACTCAAAATATATTTTGAAACCTTTGGGTTAATGTTAAACTTTATTTAAAAGAAACTTTATTACTGTTAGTAGCTTTGTTCAGAAAAGTTATATTTGAAATCAAATATGGTAAAATTCACTTTTTTCTAACCTTGCAGAACTCTAACTCTAAACCAACTCTAAAATAAGATGGCAGATTACTAAACACATAAACTTTTAAGTGAAGTTCAAAAGAAAGTATCTCTGTGGTTCTCTGAAATAGAAATAAGGAACAAAAAGCAAAACACAGGTTTACTCCCCTATTAAAAATGGAGATATTCTTTGATACAATCCAGTTATTTTTTCATATCACACTTAATGTATTTTAAGACAGATAAACTTACTTCCTTCTCTGGAATAAAGGCACTTGGTCCTCTTGTCAAGGGCTGAGATACTCTGATTCTTTTATCCTGTTTTCAAAAGAAAAGTTTTATGTGTTAATGATGACATTCTAATTAAAGTTAAATTGGTGTAAATAAATTGCTGAGGTACTGAATAAATAGAACATGAAATCAAAATAAGGGACAAGTCTCAGATCACAGAAAATCCACAGGGCTAATGTGTGAATAAGATAATGGGGCAAGTTCCTCAAAAAGTTAAAAACTGAACTTATGATCCAGCAAACACACGATTAGCTATTTACCCAAAGAACACAAGAACACTAATGCAAAAGGATACATGCTTCCCTATGTTTATAGCAGCATTATTTACAACAGCCAACATACGGAAGCCACCCAAGTGTCCATTGATTCATAAGTGGATAAAGAGGGTATAGTTTATATATATACAACAGGATATTATTCCACCACAAAAAGAATGAAATCTTGCCATTTGCAATAACATGGATGGAGTCAGAGAGTATAATGCTGAGCTAAATAAGTCACTCAGAGGAAGACAAACACCGTATGATTTCACTCATATGTGAAACTTAAGAAACAAAACAAACATGCAAAGGGAAAAAAATGAGAGATAGAGAGATGAATCAAGAACTAGACTCTCAACTGTAGGGAGCAAACTGATGGGTCACCAGGGGGAGGCAGGTGGGGGGATGGGTGAGATAGGGGATGGGGATGAAGGAGAGCACTTGTGATGAGCACCAGCTGATGGACAGAGTTGGTGAATCACTATATTGTACACCTGAAATTAAACACTGTATATTAGCTAACTGGAATGAAAATAAAAACGAGAAAAAAAAAAGGATAGTGGGACAAGTGCCTACCTTAGTCCAAAATTTCATTTTCCTCAGTCATCTTCTACAGCCCCAGAGATTTTTAGCCCATAGTTGGCGTGACTGAAACTGTTGATCTCCATAATAAAATCATATCTAACAGTATACTACTGCACTGTTAGACCTCAATCTGGAAACTCCTAGGTTGAAATCAGAGGATTCCATGCAATTCCCCAAAGTAATGACCTGACCTGTGGGGTTCTTTTTCCACAATAAAATAGGAATAGACATATCTAATATAAAGTTTTGAAGCTTTAAGTAAGAAAAATGTAAAACTTGGAGAAGTAGAGGTTAACTTAAGGTAAGAAATGGAGAACTTAGCAATCCATATTGGCCCACTTGCTATTCTATTGAGGACTAACGGGAGATTGTCAGTGGCATTCTAAGTTTTGATTTATTTGAAGTTTTTATTTTTTTTGTTAATTTTTTTTAATTAAAAAATATTTTGGTAACCTCATTTAAGTGTGATATCTATAAAGCTGCAAACATTCCAATTAGGTAATAACTTCCTTCTCTGCAGGCATGTTGGAAAGCTGGAATAGTCAGAGAGAGGCTCTCAGGGCTCTAAAGTCCTTCTTAGCCAGAAGGAGAGAGAGAGGAGACATGGCTACTTAATTTTCTATACTGTAAGTAATATTCTGAAGTTCTAAAAAAGAAGCCCTCTAAAACTGTAACATAAAAACATGGACTATGGTTACACCATACACAAAAATTGGCTCAAAATGGATTAAAGACTTGGATGTAAGACCAAAAACCATATAACTCCTAAAAGAAAACATTGGCGGTAAGCTCCTTGACATTGCTCTCAGCGGTATTTTTTTTGGATCCGACTCCAAAGGCAAAGGCAACAAAAGCAAAAATAAACAGGTGGGACTACATCAGACTAAAAAGCTTCTGCACAGCGAAGGAAACCATCAACAAAATAATAAGGCAACTTACTGAATGGGAGAAGATATTTGTAAATCATGTACCTGATAAAAGGTTAATAATCAAAATACATAACAGACTCATATAATTCAAAAGCAAAAGCAAAAGTTCAATTTAAAAAATGGGCAGAGGACCGGAATAGACATTTTTCCAGAGAAGACATTCAGATGACCAGTGGATACATGACGAGATGCTCAACCTCACTCATCATCAGGGAAATGCAAATCAAAACAACAACGAGGTATCACCTCACACCTGTCAGAATGGCTAAACTCAAAAATGCGAGAAACAACAAGTGTTGATGATGATGTGGAGAAAAAGGAACTCCAGTGCCCTGCTAGAGGTAATACAAACTGGGGCAGCCACTGTGGAAGACAGGATGGAGGGTCCTCAAAAAATTAAAAACAGAACTACCCTATGATCCAACCATTCTACTTCTGGGTACTTATATGAAGAAAATGAAAACACTAATTAGAAAAAAATATATACACCTCTGTGTTTATTGCAGCATTATTTACAATAATCAAGGTATGGAAATAACCTATTCATGAATGGATGAATGGATAAAGAAGATGTGGTATACTGTACATATACAATGGATTACTCCTCAGCCATAAAAGACAAAGAAATCCTTCCATTTGCGACAACACAGACAGACCTTGAGGGTATTAGTCTAAGTGACGTAAGTTAGAGAAAGATAAATATGGAGTGATTTCACTTACATATGGAATCCAAATGATGAAACAAATGAACACACAAAACCAAACCAAACCTCCAGATAGGGAAAATAGGTTTGTGGTTGCCAGAGGGGGAAGGGTGGAGAGGTGGGCAGACTGGTGAAGGGGGTAAAGAGGTACTAACTTCCAGTTATAAAATCAGCAAGTCACAGGGATGTGATATACAGCGTGGTGACTACAGTCAATAATATTGCATAGCAAATCTGAAAGTTACTAAGAAGGTAAATCTTAAAGGTTCTCATCACAAGACCAAAAAATTGTGTCACTGTGTGGGGTGACAGATGGTAACTCGGCTTAAGGGGGTGATCATTTTGGAGTGTATACAAATGTCGAATCATTATGTGGTACACCTGAAACTAGTATAATGTATGCCAATTAAACTTCAATAAAAACAAAATAGGGACTCAGCCATGGTTTGCAAAGATTATAAAGACTGTGTGGGAAACTGAAGAACATGAGAACAGAGTCTCCTGGAAAAGAGTGCATTAAGCTTCAGGTGCCACCAAGCCTTCCTCAGGCAACTTCCACACCGAGGAAGTGACTGTAAATGGTTCCTTATCCAATGTTGGCAATATCTATTTCATGTGACCTTGTCTCTTATCCAGAGCAGATCAGACAAATCAGCATAGAAAGAGATCTGCCGCCTATGGGTGCTTTGATGTAGAAGTTCTGCCCAAACACAACTGAGGGCAATTTGTTGGACGGGTTAAGATTCTAGAGTTACTGGAGGTATATGCAAGTAATAGACCCTGACAACAAGAAGAGCAACAACATAGCACTCAGAAACAGAGGCAGAGAACACAATAAAGATGCATTAACACGCGTCTGCTGCTAAGGGGAAAAGCACTAGCGTTTCTATAGGGTCACCAGCGAAGTCAAGTCTAATCATGGGCTCTCCTGTGTCTTTTCCTCCCTTCCATCCTCTCCTCTTTCTCTCTCCATAAGGTAACTGGAGTCTTTTTTGTTCCTTAAAATCAAAGAGCCTACCAAACACAAAATAGTTATTCTAATCCATTGCTTTTATTTTTTAAAGATTTTTATTTATTTATTTGACAGAGACACAGCCAGAGAGGGAACACAAGCTGGGAGAGTAGGAGAGGGAAAAGCAGGCTTCCCGCTGAGCAGGGAGCCTCATGTGGGGCTTTTAGTTCCCAGGACCCTGGGATCATAACCTGAGCCAAAGGCAGACGCTTAATGACTGAGCCACCCAGGCAACCCCCAACTCCTTACTTCAATGAACAGCAGTTACAAAACCAACAGACGAAAGGAGACAGCCAGGCGTTCAGTGATTTTTTTTGAGAATCTGATCAGGTACTGTGACAGACTCAGAGGATAGAGAGCAAGCGAAAGAGGGAGGGTCCCTGCCCTCATGAGCATGGCACACAACTTCCATCAATTTTCAGAATTCTATCAGAATAAATATATTGAGTAATGATAACCTAAACCGGCTCAGGTTTCAGAAAGGACCAGGCATTTAGGTTGTATTTATAAAGTGATGACAAATATATCTTAACCTACTGGTCAAAAATACTAGAAGACTCCATGTAAAAAGGAGTGATTTAGAAATTCTAATATCGGCATTTCCTGTCTACATCAACCCAAATCTAGTTTTACCCAGAAAAATAATTTAAAAGAAAATAACAGATTTCTTCCCTCTGTTAGCTGCCGTGAGTTATAGGAAACAACATTTCAAATACTCTCTCTGTAATACAGCCTAATGCAGTCCTATGTGAAAAGCAATTTCCTTGATGACGAATCATTTCAAATGAATAGAGCAGTTAAGAGAAACTGATTGTGAGGACCTACCACAGGTTTGAGGAGAAAAAATGCCAATGGGAAGGTAAGTGGGGGTTTTTGTTTATATTTATAAAAAATACATAAAATTCAGAGAAAAGACAGGGAGAGAAAAACCAAAAGCGTATGAAGGGACTTCGGGAGACAAAGAATGATTTATTACTAATATGATTTGTTTGTAAAAATCAGCTTTGAGACATTTATCAACTGAATTTACTCCTACATGCTTGAAATTGTTATTCTGCCTACCATAATATTTTCTGGAACAGAAGATGTTTAAATCTGAAATAAGTCTTCATAACAAATGGAAGTGCCCACTGCTGCACTTCAAAGAACATAACATCTCTTCGTTTGACCAACTGATAAGAAGCAACAGAGACTCAATTTCATTTGTGTCAACATTCGTTTGCTCATTTAGTCAGCAAACATTGAGAATCTACAACGTGCCAGACACAAATAAGGATTAACCTGACAGAAATGCCTACAGCCAACCACGCGGCATATGACAGAGCCCAGAGCAGATGCATACCCACGGTGATGAAGGAAGAGATCATTTTAACAATTACCACTTGCTCAGTCATCACCCTTTGGTTGAACATTGAAGTTTTGTCCAGTTTTCACTATTATGAATAACGCTATGATGACGATCTTTGCATAAAGAGATTTGAGGGCAGACTGTGGTATTCAGGATAGGTTCTTTAGAAGACTCCCCGATGTGGATTTC